TTTTTTTTTTTTTTTTTTTTTTTTTGTGAGTCTTGCCAGGACTGAGTGAGCGCTGACCTCCCAGGGCAGTGAGGAGATGCCCCACACTGATCTTAGTCAGATCAGTGAGTACAGACAGCCACTGACTCCTAGGAGATTATCTGTAATTGAGCTGAGACAGGTTGGAAAGAAGTGCATGACTAAAACAAAAAGAGATCCAACCTTTCAAACACAAAGAAGAGGCCCTTTCACTAGCCAAGAGGGACTGTGAGGACAGAAAGCAGCTGCTAGTAGAATAGCTTTGTCATCTGGCTTTTTTTTTTTTACTTTTTCTTTGCACTGGTTTACTTACAAAATTCCATGTATGTTGTTTTTCACACTGCATTTTTCCCATTTACTTAACCCACCCCTCCCTCCACCCATCCCATTGTGCGACCCTATGATTACACTCCCTACCCATCCTCACCCTTTTGCTCTCCCCTTAACCCGCTTAGATCCTCATACATGTTTTACTGGTTATCTATTTCTACAATAATGATCTTATATGGTATTTGTCCTTATGGGACCAAGTTAGTTAGTTCACTTAGCATAATGCTCTCCAGTCCCTCTCAAGTTAAGTAGTAATTTACAAAATCATTGTTCCTGCTTAGTATTCTATCATGTGAATGTACCATAATTTCTCAGTCTATTTGATTGTGGTTGGACGTTTGGGCTGTGTCCATGTTCTTAGTCTAGGGAAGATGGTGAATAACGCTGCTATGAACATTGGTGTACAAGTCTCTCTGCATCAGTTTTCATTTTCTTAGGATATATTCCAAGCAGTGGAATAGCTGGGTCATAAGGAATTTCTATGATCAGCCTTTTGAGGAAGCCCCAAACTCCCAAACACTGTGGTTGTGCCGTTTTACAGTCCCTCCAACAGTCTAATCTGGTTTTTGAGGGCCTTGCATGACACAGCCTAGAGCACTCGCTAACTGGGAAGCATTCTGCAGAGATGATGGCTAGGGAAGGAAGCGACTTTCACCTCATCAGAGTCTCCTGAGAGAGAGCATCAGGATGGGAGTTACTCCAACAAAGGTCATGTAAATCCAGGGCCCGACCTTATTTACACCTTTTCTAATTACATGTGTACATTTTCCTCCCCAAAATTCCATGCTAAGGATTTGTTTTTTGCATTTCTTTTTTTAATTAATTTTTTTTTGGAATTATTGAAAATATACATAGCAAAGCATTCAAACATTCACCCCATTTCTCTATGTACAATCCCCTGGCATTGAGTGAGTACTTTGTGTTTCGCAAACATCCTCACCCTTTTTTTCTGAGTTGTTCCTCCTCCATTTACATAAGCTCACTACTTCTTAATGTTCCTATTTAATCTTTCAAGTTACTTTCAAGTTGTTTGATTCCATGCAAATAGTTAAAATATAGTACTCAAGGCAGACTTTTTTACTAGTGAAGCTAATACATTCTTTGGTTTTAAGTACATTTCAAGGAATGTTTTTGGTTTAAGATTCTGTGATTATACTAGGGCGATAGTTTCAGGGATTAATCCAGCCTTCATGGCTCCAGAAAGTGTGGTTGTTGTTAGATGCCGTAGAGTCAAGTATCCTATGAACAACAGATCTAAACCCCGTCCTATCCTGTGCCATCCTCACCTCACAATCTGACATACGTGAGCCCATTGCTGCAGTCACTGTGTCAGTCCATCTGGTTGAGGGTTTTCCTCTCTTTTGCCGTCCTTCTACCTTCCCAAGCATGATGTCCCTCTCTAATGAATAGCCACTCTTAACAACATGCCCAAAGTATGTGAAGTGAAATTTTACCATCTTTGTTTCCAGGGAGCACTCTGGCTCAACCTTCTCCAAGACATATTTGTTTGTTGTTTTGGCAGTCCATGGGATATTCAGTGCTCTTCCCCAGTGTTGCAATTCAAAGGCATCAATTCTGTCATCCTTTTTCACTGTCCAGCTCTCAGAAGCATACCATGTGATTGAAAAGACCAAGGCCTGAACAAGGCAGAGCTTAGCTCTCAAACTAACATTGCATCTCAATAATTTAGAGAGGTCCCTGACCGCACACTTTCCCAGTGCAATTATGTCTCCTGGTCTCCTGACTGCTGATATCAAGGATGTTGATTGTGGATCCAGGTAAAATGAAGTTGACAGTTTCATTCTTTCTTCCATTTTCATGATGTTACTTATCAGTCGAGAGGTGAAAATTTTTGTTTTCTTGATGTTGAGACACAATTCAAGGTTGAATGTAGTCTTTGGTCTTCTGCAGCAAGCAAATTTGTGTCACCCCTATAACAAAGGTTACTGATGAGTGTTCCTCAAATCCTGATACCATGTTCTTCTTCATAAAATCCAGCTTCTCAAATAATTACACAGAATCATTGTACCAAAAAGAATTGGCTGGTCCTGAAATATTTCAGAAAGTACCATATGATCAAGGGTAAATGGTAATGAAGAAAGAAGTTAAAGCTTCACTGAAGGCATTGGCAAAAAATAAGGAATTTATAAGGCAATTGACATGTTTCAAATGACCAGAGCAAGCCTGGATGTGCTCACCAGCCTATGCCAGGAAATTTGAAGGAAAGCTGTCTGACCAGCTGACTGGAAGAGATACATATTTGTTCCCGTTCCCAAGAAAAGGAATCCAACAGAATGTGGAATTCTAGAACAGTATCACTAATATCACAGGTAGGCAAAGTACTGCTGAAGATCATTCAAAAATGACTAGAATAATATATAGACAGATAGCTGCCAGAAGTTCAAGCTGGATTTAGAAGAGGCTGTGCCAAAAGGGATATCATTGCCAATTTCAGATGGATCCTGACTGAAAGGAAAGAATACCAATAAGAATGTCTATTTGTGCTTTATTGATTGTGCAAAGGCATTTGACTCTGTAGATCATACCAAATTAAGGCTAACATTGAGAAAAGTGGGAAACCCAGAAAACTTAATTGTGTTTGTGTGAAACCTAGACCTAGACTGTTATGCAAACAGAGCAAGAGAACACTGCATGGTTTAAAATTAGAAAGGTGTGCATCAGGGTTGTATCATTTCTCCATCTTTATTCAATGTAAATGCTGAACAGATTATTCGAGAAGCTGGACTCTATGAAGAAGACCATGGAAATGTGGAGTCCTTGAGAATTTGAAATTCTATTCTACCTTTTCCATCTTTTGATCAAGATTCCTCTTTAGCATTCCTGATCCAAATGTTTCAGTAATGATAGCAAGACCCCATCCAGTTCTGGTTTTATGGCAAAGCTTGCAGTTCTTTGCAGAGGCAAGTAGCTACACATTCCTTATCCTTTTATTCTTGATTGTCTTTATTCCTGTGTTTCTCCAAGCAAATAAGAGATCAGTTGTTATGATTTGGATAACCCCATGCAAGCTTTGTATTTTGTTTTCAATGGGAAAATAAACTTTTGCTTTATATTGGTTTGCTTACACAGTTTCATATCCATTATGTTTCACATTATTCTTCATTCACATTGAGTTTCATACAATCATTCCTATTCATTATATTTTATAAAATGAATCAACATTGAGCTATATCCACCATTGCCCTGTCTTTCTACACCCCCACCAGATTTTTCCCATTTCCTTTACCCATCCCTCCCTCCACCCATCAAATTGTGCAGCCCTGTGATATCCCCCTGCCCATCCATACCCTTCTGCCCCCACTCTACCCCCCTTGGGTGCTCATACACATTTTACTAGTTAGCTATTTCTACAATAATGGTTTTATACAATATTTGTCCTCATGAAACTGAGTTAGTTCACTCAGCATAATGCTTTCTAGTCCCTCCCAAGTTATATAGTTGCTTTCTAAATCATTGCTCCTGAGTGCTGTGTAGTATTCCATTGTTTGAATGTACTACAATTTCTCAATCCATTTGATTGTGGTTGGCTATTTAGACTGTTCCCATGTTTTTCCAATGGTGAGTAATGCTCCTTGCAAGCTCCCCCCCCATATTTTTTTAACTTATTATTAATTTTAATGAAAATGTACAGAGACTTTGGGTTTCCATTCATTCATTGTTGCACTTTTCTCCCCTCCCAACCTTTTCCCCTAGTACACTACCCTCTTGGAAAAGTAAAAGAAAAATTCTTTCATTGTTTTACAATCCCTCCTTCTAGGTCCACTCCACTATGCAGCCTTAGCTCTGCACTCCTATCATGACAAGCATACCTAATCACATATCCCTTTTAAACAGTTTTCTCACTCATCTGCTTCAATTCAATATACATTATTGAACCCATCTTTCTCAGTCTCCCCCCAACCCAGATATCAGTCCTGTTTTACAACAGTGGCACCATGTAGTATTTGTCCTTTTGTGACTGAGTTACTTCACTCAGTATAATGTCCTCCAGGGTCACTCATTTTGAATAATACTGCATGAGTTCCTTGTTTTTCAATGCAGTGTAGTATTCCATTGTGTGAATATGCCACAGCTTCTCTATCCATTCGTTTGTTGATGGGAACTTAGGTTGTTTCCAACTCCTTGCTATTGTGAACAAAGCTGCGATAAACATGGGTGTGCATATATCTGCTTGGATGTCAGTTATGGTCTCTTTAGGGTATATTCCCAGTAGTGGTATTGCTGGGTCAAATCGTATCTCTATTTGCAACTTTTTGAGAAAGCTCCATACTGCCTTCCATAGTGGTTGCACCATTTTACACTTCCACCAACAGTGAATAAGGGTTCCAGTTTCTCCACAACCTCGCCAGCATTTGTTGCTTGCTGTTCTGTTAAATTTTGCTATTCTGACTGGAGTAAGATGATATCTCATGGTTGTTTTTCCTTGCAAGCTTTTAAGACCCCAAGGCATTACACAGCTGGTTAAAGAGTTTCAGTTAGCAGATAGTAAAGTTGTTAATAATAGTTAGAAGATAGTAAAATGGAGAAGGGAAGTCTTTGTTAGTGATGCTCTCCTTTCCATGTCTCCTCTATGTGACTGCCAGGTTCAAGCCTACCTGACGTGTTGCAAGCTGCGTTCTGCCTATCTAATTGCCGTGAAGCAAGAACACTCTCGAGCCACTGCACTTGTCCAGCAGGTGCAGCAGGCTGCCAAGAGCAGTGGGGATGCTGTGGTACAAGATATCTGTGCCCAATGGCTTCTTTCAAGCCACATCCGAGGAGCCCATGGCTCAAGCTCCAGAAAGTGACTTTGTGTGATGGAGCCAGAAGAATGCAGCATGAGAACTGTGACGGACAGGAGTGATGACGACACCCCCACCTCTCCCCTCCCTCTGCGTGGGCTCCCTCATCTCTGCCCTCTGGTTGAGAAGAGCTGGACTGGACCCTACCTTGCCGCCTTGGGCAGGGATAGGACCTTTCACACAAGTGCCAAGTTTCTGTACCATTGTAGGTCTGTGTGTGTTTGTCTGGAGATGGCCAATTCTTTCTACCTCAGAGTGAGTGTGTGCGTGAGTGAATGAGTGTGTGTAAATGCACGTGCACACACGCATGAATGCGCCTGTGCACTCAAGTTTACGCCTGAGCGTTTCTGAACAAATGGCGCTCTTCCATTGGAAGAGGCACTTTACTTTTAGCCTTTTAGCAGTCTCAACCTTCCCTGCGTTTTGGTTCTTAACCCGGGTCATCCTGTTTGTACACAGCCCCCACCACATGGAGATGCTTTAAAAGCTCCTCTTTACTAGATGGCTTGACAGAAAATTATCAAGCATCAACAAAATGATTGCCTTTTATCCCCTTGTTTGCCTCCTCCAAATTCTAGATGGTCTGAGACCAGTGTTACCTGTCAGTAAAGCTGTTTCCCAAGTGTCTCCTCTGACAAGCACAAGGAGTTAACAGGAGTCTTTGGAAGGGAGTGTGAGTACAGTCCTTAGGGTGCAGGCATCTAAAGGCCGTACAAGCAGATACAAGTGACCAGGCTTGGGAGCCAGCTCCACAGATGGGAAGGGGCCCATCACAGTCACCCCACAGGGTGGAAAAGGCAAGCCTCTCCAGTCAGAGGAGAGGTCCACGAGCACAGAGCTGTCTCGACTGATCACCCCTGCTGCAAAGCTGACAGGTGAGAGAACATGGCTCCATTTTTTTAAAGTAAAAAGAGAGGAAAATGGCAGTCCGGATCCTGGGAATGAATGACTAGGCTTTATGCATTTCAGTTACAGACCCATATATGCCCTTTGAAACACCTGGAAACCTACCACCTCTTCTCTCCTGCTTCTCTCCAAACCTCCCTTTGAAACACCTGGAAACCTACCACCTCTTCTCTCCTGCTTCTCTCCAAACCTTTCAGGACCAAGGAATGGAAATTCAGATACCATGTCACAGGGTCTGAGTTGGACCTATGGGACAGGAGAATGAGAGCCCAAGGAGTCCCATTGGTGGAAAACTAGGTGAAGTGTTTTTTTTGGTGAGCACTAGCTTGCTTTCCCAGTAGAAAGGTGACTGGGTTTTAGGACGCCTGTCATTCTCAGTGACTTCTATTTTCAAATGAGGGAGACTAAGGAAAAATTCTGTATCTCCCACTGGCCGGAAGTCAGCCTGCTGATCTCACAGTGGAGCTGAGGCCAACAGGGACTAGAAACTGAAGTTGATGTCTCTGGTGCTTAGACACCTTGTGGATTTTCCATCTGGCTAAGTTTTTACTAATAAAAAGAAATAGCTGCTATGGGCATCTGTTGGATTAAAATGTATATATTTCTCTTAAAGAGGAGAAAAACTGTAAGGGACATATTAGACTCCCTTTGGAGGAAGCCTGACAAGTGGCTTCTTCCTTGAGTCATGGAATGGATCTGTCTCTCTCGCTGGCATCTGCTTTTCCTGCCAAGTCCACCCTCTTTGCACTGACAATAAGCACTTTATTATAATGGGTTGCAAATTTTACAGCCCTTAATCTGAAATGTTAAGATCAAGCTTTTCCTAACTCTCTTCCTCTAACTGAAGTATAAAATAGGCAACCACTGACATGACTAAACTGACATAAGATGAAATTGAAAGCCTCTGAGCATCATGCTGTGACCCAGAAAAAAAAACAATATGTACATAGTGAAAAGTGGAGTGTTTTACTACAAGAATGCCACAATAAAATGTCTCTCCACAACTTTATCACTGGATTTTGTGGGTTTTTTCCATTTTTTTATTATCTACCTCAGACGCACTGCTTTCTTTTCTCTTGTGTTCTTTGGGGAGGGGGGGAAGTTAGATGGTGTTCCACTTTCTCTAAATGATCCCATATCTGCTGACATTTTGGGTGGGATTAATGTCACTTGTCTATATGTTATAAAACTGTTGTATACCCTTCACCACCAGAAGACCATTTTTCACCCCCTCGCTTGAGAGTGGAGATGGAGATAGGTAACACATTCTTCAAGTCTAGAAGTCTCTCCCATCATTATCTCTCAGCCAGAAACCAGCAATGTTAACTTATAATACAGAGTTCCACAGCTCTTTTATACATAAATAAGCATTAAGACCTAAGCATTCCATGGGGAGGCTGTGCTGTAATTCTTTAACTGATCTTTTTTGCTAGACATTTTCAGGTTGCCGTCTTTTGGCACAAAGACGCTGTCAAAAGAATGAAAAAGGCTGTTTGGAAGAAGTACAGTGAGGGGTGCTCTTTAGAGGTAAGGGTAGTGAGACCATCTCATATACTCTGGTCATGTTATCTATCAGGAAGGACCAGTCCTTGGACAAGGACACCATGCTTAAAAAGGTAGAGGGTCAGTGAAGGAGAGGAAAAGCCTCAAGCGTGTCAACATGAATTAACACAGTCACTACAATAATGGGCTTAAGCACAGCAGAGATTTTAAGGATGATAGAGGATTGGTCAAGGTATGATCTATTGCACATAGGATTACTATTAGTTGAGGTTAATGTCTCACAACACTTTGGACTGCAGTGAACCACCCACATTAGAGGACTTTGCAAAGAAGTCACAGGATGTCACTGTCCTGTCAGCAGTGTAGGAGAGTGCCCCAAAGTCAGCAAACTGCAAATTTTTGCCAGTTGGATGAGTAAAAAATGGTACTGAAACTTTTTTTAAAATTGCCATTTTTAAACTCTTTTAAGATATATATCAGTTAAATTGTGGATCTTTGACGTGGAGGACAAGCTCTGGGAAAAGGCAGGAAACAAATTTAGCTGAAATTATTTTCTTGCTTTCCTCTGGTAGCCTGTGTTCACAGTATGAATTCATGAATTATGGACAATAGTACTTCACCATTGCCTATTTCCCCAGAATTATATCTCACCCAACTTCCCAACTAATTTTTTTTTAAAAAGTATAACAATTTTGTTGAAAGTAGACCTGGATATTACCTGTGTGGACATGGTGTATCACAACAGAGAAAAATGGAACCCACTCTAGATCTAGGATAGATGGCCACTAACAGTAGAAACCTGAAACACTTCAAGGTTACCAGATATCTTTGGCTGGAGTTTAAGCAAAGTAGTTCAGAGAATATTAGACTCTTATTATCTAAGTAACCAAATCGCAATAGTCATAGTAACCTTGGAGGAAATGACCTTTATTTGATCGTCGTTCCCTCCTCCACAGTGACAAATCTGACCAACTTATGAAACTTCTGGTTCTTTTGCAACAAGTTTATTCAACCTCTGGTTACTGAAGGCTTGCTTTCCTGGAGTATTTTCCTACTGTTTTCTATGTTGTTATTTCACTTGGAACTCTTCCATTCCACACTACAATCAACGATTGTCAAAACGCTTCCTTCAAGCAAAACGAAATGCCAACTCCTGTGAAGAACTTCCTTCTTGGGCTATTCTTCCTAGTCACCCCATGCAAGAGAAGAGCTGCTTTATGATTCTATCCATTCTCTCAACACACTTAAACACTTTCCTAAAATCTCATACTTTCACCAGTGGTTCTTAATTTATTGTTGAATTCTAAACTAAATGTGTTCCTTAAAACACTCTTCAACATAAAGCCTGTCTTTTGGCTACCTTTTCTAACTCGCCCACACGACTCACCTACACCTGAAGACATTATCACTCTAAAATGTAGAACACATCCTCTTTTAACCACAAACTTTATATTCCCAGTCCAAAGCCAAGTCCTATTATCTTACTGGAGTTCAATTTATGTGTGAAATGAAAATTAAAACCACAATGAAATGTATCTCTTCCAATACCAAATTGGAAAAGATCAAAGTGTTGGCATGAATATGGAGAACCTTGGGGCGCTCTGGTGGCCTAGTGGCAAGAAGCTGTGCTGCAAGCCCGAAGGTGTGTGGTTTGAATCCACCAGATACTCCACTAGAGAAGGAGAGGCAATCTCCTCCTGTGCCAGTCAGATCTGATTCAACAGCACACAATTTAAAAAAAAAAAGGAGAAGAAGAAAGAATGAATGTGGGGAAATTGACAAGTGCAAACAATGGAAATGTATATCCTTGTACTTTTTTTGGAGGGCATGCTGGCAGTAGTTCTTAAAATGAACCTTTAGAAATACGGTAAACAGATACAATACCAAGCTGTGAATATTGTTGTTAGTTTCTATCAGGTCAGTTCCAATTCATGGCAACCTATGTGCAAAATAATGAAATAATGCTTGGTGCCATCTTCATCTTGTTGGTATATTTGAGTTCACTGTTACAGCCATTGTATAACAGCCTTCCTGCTTAGGGAGCTCATCTCACACCTCTGTGGTACTGTGTCAGACAAGGGTCTGCTGTGATTTTCTAGGTCTGTGAGTAACTCATTTTCAGAAATAGATTTCCAGGCCTTCCTTCCTAGTCTTATTCTGGTAACTCCTCTAAAACTGTCCACTCTGACTCAAAATCAATTGGAGAACAGCTAACAACAAAAATCCAGGTGACCCTGCTGTTATTTTAAATACTAGTGGAATAACTTCTAGCATAGTAGCAATAGATAAGCCACCACAGTATGGTAAAATGTCAGATGGTTGATGGAAATTGTGCACATCAAGTTGATTTATATTTGTTGTTGTTATGTGCGGTCAAGTCAACCGCAACTATTTACAACCCTGTGAACAACAGAGCTGAACCTGACTCGGGGCTGTGCCAGCCTCATCATTTCTGATACACTTGAGCCCATGTACAGTGACGATGTCAATTGGTCTTATTGACGGTCTTCCTCTCCTTCTCTGACCCTCCAGCTTTTCAAGTATGTCCCTGTCCAAGGACTGGTCCCACCTAACAACATGCCCAAAATATGTGAGTT